CATGTCTTTAGAGATGTTATCGAGTCACAATACAGAGATACACACAATCTAATATAACTGAAAATGTGACAATAAGACACACACACACACAGACACAAATAATAATAATAATAATAATAATAATTTCACCCCAAACAAGGTAATAAAGCCGCTAACATGCAAAGGGTTACTAGGTGCGAGAGAATGTTAAAAAATACTATTAAGGTGAAAGAATTGTAAAAGAACAGGAAGAAGACAGACGATAACGATTGATATTCCATTAATTTTTTTTTAATTTTGCTGTGACAGAGGGCCTGTATACAAAGCATCTCGCCCCACTATCGACCTCACCTTATTCAACAGTGGGAATGGTGTTGTTGAAAGGGTTTTAAAAAATATAAAGGCACTCACTGTAATTCTGTCTGGGCTCAACAAGCGAAGCTCTGAATACACGGTCTTACTAGCATGCATAAAAGAAATATTTTTTAACCATTTTAAAAGCTTCAAGTTTTTTTTTGCGGTGAAAAAGATTAAATTGGAAATTCTTCCAAAATTTAGATAATAGTCTGAAATTTTCAGGATTTATTCACAAATAAAAGAAACTTATGTTAAAATAGTTCGCTATATAATATAACAGAACTATTAAAATAGTGCTATACCTAATATAACTATTAAAATAGTGGTCTATGTGATAAAACAGAGTTTCAAAATAGTGCTCGATGTAATATAACAAAGCTATTCACATTTTCCCTCATCGATACCACGACTCGGAGTTTCATGCACAAAGTAATCTTCAGGTTCTGAGTACAGATTGGCCGTTACATAATTTAAATATTAATAAAAAATATTTGGTTGTCGCAAATCTGGCGCAGTTCATATAATATATGGTGTTTACAGGGTTTATACATATATATATATATATATATATATATATATATATATATATATGCGTATCTCTGTGTGTGTGTGTGTATTACATTTTAAAATAAAGGGATTTATATTTCATATGAAAAAAAAATATAAATTAAAATAGACGGATATATATATATATATATATATATATATATATATATATATATATATATATATGATAAATAGGCTTTTATTATATCCTTACTCTGTCCTGGACATTGAGTTCTACCTGGATTCTATCCTATTGGAATTATTTTTTATACATATATATGTATGTGTATATATTTATATATTTTATATATATGATTGCATATGTATGTGTATATTTACCACTAATATTATATATATATATATATGAAACTCAGAATTTGGACCTGAGTAAAGCTGTTTGGAAACATTTTCTGTTATCAAAAGTTTGGTTTTGCACAAACCTTTGCCATTGTAATCAAATCATAAGTGTGGGTAGTTTAACGGTTCAGTTCCGAACTGCTAGAGTCTCGTACATTAATATACGAGAGGAAAGTGCATCATATATGCATGGATATATAATAGTATATTACTCAGTAAAAATAATATTTTTACATATGAACTGGTAATTTTTTTTGTATGTGTGTGCGTGTATCTGTATACTTACAAAGAAAGAAAAAGTTTGAAGGCTTGAGAAAAAAAAAAATCAAACTCTAAAAATAAACTTATTTTGGCGTGAGAAATTTGTTCAGCGCTGCCAATATTCTTCTTGTTCCGAATTTAGGAAGACAAGACTATATATATATATATATATATATATATATATATATATATATATATATATATATATATATATATATATATATATATAATTGTTTTATATGCTACTAGGCAGAAAAAAAAAAAGTTTTATAGAGCGCGAAGGAAATACTGGTAAAAACAATAATCAATTCTATTCTCGTCAAATTGACTGAGTGCATTAAATGAAAAAAAAATCACCAATGAAGATCCATTTACATGGCTAGTATGTGCGTGTGTTTGTGAACCTGTCTGCATATATATATATATATATATATATATATATATATATATAATCACTATTTTAGTCTGAGCGAAAAAATAATCGAAGACAATGGATTTCTTACAACAAAAGCTCTACAAGTCAGAAAATAAATGAAGCGCTATTCTATTCTCTCAAATAAGCTACAAGAGATAAGCTCCTCTTTGTTTTACAATTTGGCAGTCAGTCGATTCTTGATGACGATGACAGTGCATTAACAGTTTAATTTTTTCTAAATCATTTTATTTTAGATGATAAATTAAGTTCAGCATCAATATTGATAGATTTTCGCTGGGCTTCAAAGTGTGGCGTAATGGTTAAGGATTATTATTACTGTAGTGATGTCAATCCTCACTGGGGGGCATAACTGTTTTAGCTTTATTCCAGACAAAGCTAGGCTTAGCATTTGTGTGCGCAATTATCTAACAGGTCATTATTAATGTAAATAAGTTTAGTAAATGCTAATAATAGATTAAATTCAAGAGAATTTATTTTGAGCGGAGACTAAATATTAAAAAAATAAATAAATGGTATCTCATGTTATAAAATGTGTTTGTGTTCCCTAATTTCCTGCTGAAGGACCGTGTATTGTAAAAGTTAAAACTATTTCCATTCATTAACCTGTGTTGAATGAAAGACTGTTTAGGTGTGGTTAAAAAATGATGTTTGTAATAAATTACCACCATACATATAGGGTGTATTTGAACTTCAACTTTTCATTTATACAAGTCTTGTTAAATTCTAAAATTTCCTTGTTAATAATTTATTTATGTACTTTTTATGTTGCAGATTAATTGGCTATGTTTCTGATTATTTCAAATATGAACCGGGAATCAAAAGATAATCTGGAACATAAAACTATAAAAAAAAAAAAAAAAAAAATTAAATTTCATTGTTATTTAATCGAAATCAAAATATTTGATATTTATTCTGAAGATATAATCCGTAATGGAGATGTAGCTTAAAAAATAAAAGTTTCACGCGCTTTCGGCCAAAAGTTTTAGACAGTTTTTGATAACAAATCAAATTAAACAAATTTTTCCCAAAATATTAAAATAATAAAAATTACCTCCTATTTTGGTACTAGTTTCTTTATTAGTTAAAATTGCTAAAATTATTTACTTTAGTCAGCGATATAAATTCAAAATAAAAGAATGAACAATATTTGTGCACTCAATCGACATAATCCTCTCCAGTCAATAGTCTTCTTCATTCTCCAACAATTCTTTTCATAATAGTCAAATTTTATTTGTTTTGCTTTTAACTTTGCTTTTCTATTCGGAATTCGACCAAATAAATTATGTCATCGTAAATACTGCTTGATCTACAGTCACAATATCTGCCAATTGTATGAGTTTCCTCTTGTAATATCTATTTCTAACAGAAATATTTGTAATGGTGCTATGAGTTTTGTTCATTAAAATATATATTTAAAATACTATAGTTATAGATATTTATTTTTGTTTTAATTTCAGATTATCAAAATTGCCATGGGTCGTAATCTACGGTTGTAAAGATTAATAAGAATAGGAGAGTAAATCTTTCATGCGTAAAACTATTGTTTAGTCATTGCTGGACTTCACCAGTCAATGTGGACGTGTGTGTAAACGTAGCGTGGATGTCGGAGAGACTGGCTGCTCCCTTCGGATGGGGTGGAGCGTTCATATAAGCTAGTCATCCGATTGCACATCCCAAGGTCATATGGGTCAACTACTCTTATATATGTTGAATGCAATCACTTATATTCTTTGAGGAGTGAGTACGCACTTGTCGATGAATTCACTTTCTAGATTAACCCACTGGCTCCTCTGGGTATTTAGTGTAATAAGGAGGACAAAGATTAATTTGGTATATCTTAGGGTGCCTATTCAGGTCATCACAGATCAACTCATCTCAGAGCATATATTACTTATTAACATTAAATTCAATTCCAACCTCTGGTAGTTCCTGGTATGAATCCCGTAAAAAAAAAAAAAAACATAATGTGAAGAGAACACTGGAAATTTCGATAAAAGTTGAGCAGAGATCTCAGAGAGATTAAAACAATGATTTCATCTTCGATATTTAAGTAAATATTAGGAGGAGAAACATTGGGTGAAGTACATGAAAACTGATTTCTCAACAGTCATTTTTAATGATAGATTTAGATCTCTATGCGATAAGCCTAATAGCTGGAGTTAGAGGTTGAGTATATTGCAAATAGACATCCAAGACGGCTTAGAACAGTACAGTAATATTTTGAGCTAGTATTGTAGGCAGTTAAATTATAGGACCCTTTAAGGCTAGTGATGGTTTAAGATAAATACTGAGAATTATTCTAAATTCTTAGAATAGACGTTTTTTTTAGGGGAACCAGACACAAGCGAGATGCTTTCAAGTAAAAGTGTATATTATGCATAATTTTCTTTTAGTTTTTATTATTATCCGTCTTACTTTCAAAGAAATCAAATTAATGAAATGGGCTTCTCAGTATCTTCAGATATTAATTCAATAGAACAGCAAGTTAATCTTTCAAACCCATTACTGTTAAATAGTGCGTTCCAACTTCAGACTTATGTCTTTGTTTTAAAATATAAGCTACGCTCACTAAATAAAAATTTTATTAAAAAAGAGTATTCATACTTGTAAAATATTTTATAAATAGCGCCCATGATATTATTGATTCAGTGCGTGAAATGATAGAATTATGTACTACACAGCATAATATGCTAAGTCATTAGTTTAATAAAATGATTTAATTATTGAACCTGATCTTTTATTTTATAAATTGTAGATTTCACTTGTACCACGAACTGGATCTCTAATCCTTCAGGTTAATAATCTATGTGAAGCAAACGCTTAGAAGAGGATGAAAAATATAGCTCAGTGAAGGCAAGTATCCATTAAAGACTTCTTGATAAGTAGAAGCCTTTAAATTTTGAAACTATTCAAAACGATTATGCACTATGCAAAATAAAAAAAAAGAGTAGAAATAAAGAAGCACATCTGTACAAATTCAAAATTCTACTAAGATCGAACTAAAAGGACGGCGTACATAATGGATGCTAGTGTAAACGAATGGTGAATAAGAAGACACGTAGGAATGGCAAATGTGATCGGAAATCACGCGTCCATCTTTCGTTCATTTGACGTGGAAACCTTACGCTCAAATATTCGCCCGCTGATCCCGACTGAAAGACGTTAAACAAGTTTGAATCGGATTTTATTTGGTCGCAAATCATATTTTCTTATGTTGTTTAGATAGAAAGGAAAGATTTCGACAGACGGATGTACGCACACATACACACACGCACAAGTAAACACATGCGCAAACACAGAATAGAAAAATCAAAATAATCTTAAAAATACACAAATGCTTATTCAAACACACGTCTCTCTCCCCTCTCACTCGCTCTTTATATATATATATATATATATATATATATATATATATATATATAGTCGCATTTAAATTGTCATGAGAAAAATAAAATAAAAATCTCCACTTGATGTATATACATATATATATTATATATACGTTTTATGTATATATATATATATATACATATATATATATATATATATATATATATATATATATATATATATATATATATATGTGTGTGTGTATGTGTATTTCTTTTGATTTCTTCCGTTTGCTAAGCTAAGAAGCAAAGGTATATTACGCTTATCTAAAAGATAATAGTCGGAATAGAAAAGGAGTAAAATACGTTCAGAAAAAATAGAGAATAATTTATAAGCGTTAATTTCCCACTAAAAGGATGAAGATAAACAAACCAGAACAAATAGTATCAAAGAAAATTAAAACTTTTTTATTTACTTGTGAATATGCCGACATGTAAGCATATAAGTCTATCATAATCATATTCTTTCTTTCTTTCTTTCTTTCTTTCTTTCTTTCTTTCTTTCTTTCTATCTTTCTTTCTTTCTATCTAAAAGGATGTCTTGTCATGCTGTAATAGTTTAATACACTTGTCAGTTCGATCAAGTAAAGTTCGATACTTGCTGAATGTACCATACTTTTGGCCTTGTATCAAAATAAGTTAAAAATTCATTATAAAATAAACATTAAGAAACAAAGATATAGTTTTTATATAGAATTCACACAAGCAAGAAAACATACACAAACGCATACACACGCGCAAACCATATCGATATATGTTAAACACAATAAAAAATCATACTAAAACATACACAAAATCCCAGTACAAGAACCACACTCGCACTCACATTAATGCACCTACAAATATACGCAAATACAGACACGCATACACGCTAAAATACAATTGCTCATATGGGTATATATATATATATATATATATATATATATATATATATATATATATATATATATATATATATATATATATACGCACTTACACAAATTCATACGTATAAGCATGCACACTTGCAAATACACCTCCACGGAAAACAATATAAAACAATAAATACACGCATAAACATATCGTATCGAAATTATCGCGCACACATGTACCTAAAAACAGCTGAAAGTATACACAAAAACAATCACATATATTCACAAACGCACGGGTACACACAAAAATACAAACATTATACGAAATAGAAATTTACGTAAATGTGAATTTTACGTAATAGTGAGAGGGGAAAATGAAGATAAAGTAAGGAAATTCATTTACTTTAAAAAGATCAATGCATGTGAGATGGAGTGAAAGAGAAAATGAATGAAACCAAGGGAGAAGAAAGAAAGAGACTGAGATAGAGAGAGACAGAGAAAGAGAGAAAGAGTAAGAGATTGATGTGGTTGCCTGTATTTGCATATGACTTTCAGAATAAGTCAGCAATACCAAACAAATACATACATGCTCATACTCACATGTATCCAGCCCCAGGCTGATGATCTACAGGCTGGTCCGAAAGTCTTGTCGCCCCTATTACTCTTCCCATCTGTAGGAGCTCGTGTCACCATTTAAAATATAAAATTATATTCTGTACGGTTACAAGTCTTTCGGACCACGCATTATATATATATATATATATATATATATATATATATATATATATATATATATATATGTGTGTGATATGTGTGTTTGCCTATATATATATATATATATATTTTCTTTCAGTTTACATATATATATATATATATATATATATATGTTTGCACTCTTATTTCTGTATATGTATGTACAAATTTGAGAGCATGAAAACCTGAATAATGTGGATGAATTGGTGAGGTAGGTACATTAGATGAATTCAAACTGGAAATGTGACTTGAAAAGGCAGCGATAAATGAAGACCGAATTGAAAACAGACATAAAATATGCGTAATAAATAAATAAATTCTGAAGGAGATTAAAAAACTTGTTTTTTGTAAGGGAAGCAACAGATAAGTTGGATATTTAAATACAAGAAAGCAGAACAAACAAACTGATAAAATCAAATAAAAGCCAAGAAGCAAAAACATATTCACGTGGTAAAAAAAAGCTAGCAAAGATGAGGGAAGCAAATGTAACAAGAATATGAAAATGGCGCACATAAAAAGCAAATCAAACATGGCGGACAAACTTGAAAACGCCAGAGCTTAAAAATCAGATTTGTCACAAATCCCAGAAAATTGAAATATTCAATATTTGAACATTTATAAGAATTCTGCATCATCCACTTCACCCAGTTCCTTACTCGTATCTGAAAAAAGGAAAAACGAAAACGACATATAGAGCTCAGAAAGAGAGAGAAATAAACAAGAAATAAAATCCTTTCGTATTTTCTTTGCTACTTCAGAAAGCTTTCTTGAATTTTCTATTGCTAGTTCGAGTTTCCTTGCACAGGATTTATATGCATTAGTTACGGATAGATAAAGAAAGAATTAATAAATGATGGGGTACCAAAATACAGAAAATGAAAACAAAGTTTGGGACTTGTAAATATTTGAAAAAAAATGAACATAGAAAAGCATAGATAAGAGGTATTGGCAATATTCATGAGAATAAGGAGAAAAGAAAAGAGATAAAGAAATAATTAACAAAAAAGAAAAAATAAAGAAGAGAATTATTATGATAAAAGGGAGAAGAGGAGAAAGAAGAAATAATGGTGACGAAAAATGAAGAATATCGAATATCAGTGGGTGAAAAGGATTTAATTAGAGAATAATAATAATAATAATAATAATAATAATAATAATAATAATAATAATAATAATAATAACTGTGACAAATACCAAGAAACAATAGACCATCTAATCTCAGGATGTTCTATACTTGCCCCAAATGAATATAAAAATCGTCACGATAGAGTGGGGCAATACTTACACTGGACAATGTGCAAACACTTTGGAAAATGTGTAAGCAAACACTGGTATGAACATCGGCCAGCGCCGGTTACAGAAATAGAAGATGTCACCATTCTTGGGATTATACCATCCACACAGACAGAAAAATTGAAACAAATAGGCCGGACATTATTGTCAAAAACCAGAAAGAAAAACTTGCCTACTAATTGATATGGCTTGTCCAGCGGATTGTAACATAGCAACCAAGGAATTTGAAAAACTATCAAAATACAAAGACCTGGAAATTGAAATAGAAAAAATGGAAATTGAAAACAAGAATAATACCAGTGGTAATAGGTGCACTTGGAATTATAAAAAATGGAACAAAACAACACATTGAAAGAATCCTGAAACCCCAGCTTAAGAGACATACAGAAAATTGTCTTATTAAGTACAGCACACACACTAAGGAGAACTTTGTCTATGTAACGCTAGCAACTTCATCGGAAAAAAAAAAAAAAAAAAAAAAAAAATTAACATGAAATGTGGCCATAACAACACACCACGACCTGCCTTAGGTCTTTCACCAGACTTGGTAGGTGAGTGTGTCCATAACAGAAATCGAATGATGATGATGATGACAATAATAATAATAATAATAATAATAATCGAGGTAGGAAAGGAAAATGCCGTATTCCTAACGACTTTCAGGAACTATTTTATTTTTTTTTCTTTTAAAATTTTGCTTTATTTTTATTCATGATTTTCTTTCCGTTTTTGATGTTATCATCTTCCTTTGTTCTTTCTTTTCCTTTAGCTTCTTTTTCCACACAGTTTTTCTTCCTTGGCTTCTTGTTCTTTAGATTACATTCTTCTTCTTTTTCTTCAATTATTTCTTCTAATTCTTCCTTTTCTTTTTGTTGTTGCGGTTATTGTTGTTATTGTTGTTCTTCATCATCATCATCATCATCATCATCATCATCATCATCATCATCGTCGTCGTCTTCTTCTTCTTCTTCTTCTTCTTCTTCTTCTTCTTCTTCTTCCCACTTCCCACTTCTCAGGAGATTTTACCGTCCATATTTCTTTTGCGTTCTTCTTTGTGTGCAAACAGAATAGCGACAACTTCGCGACAGAAATGATGAACGACATTTCACGTAGATATCAACACAACTGGTAAATACTCTTTTAAACGCCAACTGCCATCTTTTTTCGACAGCAAGTCAATTCCAATTTGCTTTTATTTAACAAAGAAAAAAGATGGTTTTATCGCTTCATTTGCTTCTCTTTCATTTTATATTTTTTTACTCACTGCATTATTCTGTCGTTCACAATCTTTTATGATCGACTTTCGCAGCTTTTTTTGGCTCTTTTCGGCATATTCTCTCTTAACCTAAGATGACCTTGAATGTGTCTTATGATTGTCCGTAAATGTGTTTCAAAAACTCTTAAAGTCGTTTCAGAAAATGTTATAGAGGAGTCCGTTGATAAAATCGTGCAACAAAGAGAGAGAAGGGAGGGAGGGAGGCAGGGAGGGAGAAAATAGATAGAGAGACGGAGACACAGAAAGATATAGCGAAGAGAAAGTTAGTTGTACAAGAAAACGAAAATGATTATGAAACGAGAGAAATGCAACAAAAGAAATACATATATCAGAATACAAAATTTAGAAGGAAAAAGTGTTAGTGCAAGAGGGAAAATATACTGGGGAGAGAGAGAGAGAGAGAGAGAGAGATTAAATAGAGAACGAAGAAGAAATATTTAAATAAAAGACAGGCAATGTAAGAGTGATATGGGAGCGGGGGAGAACAAAACGTAGACATCTATATTATTGTCATCCGATTTCTGTTTGCTGTTTCTTTAATGTAACATCGTAACGAGATTGATGTTAGAGTAATACAGTTAAAATGTTCAAATTGAAGAATAATATAATTTTCAACCAATTTTAAACTTAAGACTAGTGAATGGTGTACGTTATCTTTCTTTCTCTCTCTATCTATCTATCTATCTATCTATCTATCTATCTATCTATATATATATATATATATATATATATATATATATATATATATATATATATATACATGTATCTATATATAGTTTGAAAAAAAAAAAAATATATGTATGTGCGTGTGTTTAATATGTAACAATAATCAATAAAATGTTGTATCATGTGTAATATAAAGAACTACTTTTTAATAATAGATATTTAGTATTTATTTTACTCTAATAAGATTCTAATTTGATTAAATATGATAGTGCATAAAAATCCCTATGTAAACAATTCTTGCATATAGTAAAGATCGCTTAAAAGAAATCATATACTATGAAAAAGTTCAAAATAAAAATGGTTACTGACAACACTTCTTTACAAAAACCTACGTTACAAAGACCACTGTTGCATATCAGATCCCCTGTAATGGCGAAGGTATAAAAAAAATCAACATATATTGGTCATGTCACAACGTTTCTTTCGAAAGGATTGGCCTATCATCTTTCGGAGAAAAGAGGCATAAACATATATCCCAGATACGAGACACCGTTTCTAATTTTTAATTTTTGTCAGTGTTTGGTCCACAGTACAACAGTACTATGCCACAGTAAAAAAATGATTACAAATCTTGGTGGCCTTTTACATTGAAAGAAATCAACCCACTATCAATAAAATTTGTTTCAATCTTAAGTTCTTCTTTGTTACATAACGCTAAAATCCATTTCTTAGTTATAGCATTTCAAAATTTGGACGGTTAACAATATAAATGCTCCACTGGTTATTTCTCGATTTTCTACCTTCTTTCCCTGATGACCATCAACTATGGCCGAAGTACTAGGGACATAACATAATTTTGTCAAGTTACTTTGCAAGTTTCCACCCGACATTAATGGGGCCAGAGGATACACACATAGTAAAGTGGATTGTAGATTATTTTATCTGAGTCTGAAGTGTGTGATGTCTTATGACCAAAAGTAAAAGCCTTTATGTAAGTTCGACTGATGTCCAAAGGTAATAGAAAAGTGTGAATAAGTAAATAAATGAAAGCTTTCAGGATTAAGGAGGTAGGAAGTTTCAGTTGTGAATTTATAGAGATAGAATGAAAGGATGGTTAGTTGCGAATCGTGCGTCGTGATGTAGAGCTGGACAGATAGGTGCTAGAGGAGAGTTGGAATCCTCAAAAGACGCGTGAGAAGACGGAAGTAGCAACGAAGATGTCTCAATTCTCATCTACTTCCTCCGAGCTGTGACAACTGAATTCGTGGATAAATATTTTGGAAACTGGATTCGTGTTTTTATTTCTCGTCGTAGTGTTATTTTTCACCTTACATTACCTTGTGAACCGATGCAAACTGGAATCGAAATACAACTGGGGTGATTTGTCCAGTCTTTGAAAAGCTGAAGGGGGAACCCGGTTGTGTGTTTAAAACCAAGTGACTTATTCGAAACCTGTTCAAAAGACTTCAGAGACATTCATTTCTCGTTCTACTGAAAAGAAATGTTTATATATATATATATATATATATATATATATATATATATATATATATTCGACCTTGCCTACCGAACGCTCCTTTGTGGCCAAGTCGATTAAGGCACGTCAGCGTAAATGACGGTTCCATATATATATATATATATATATATATATATATATATATATATATATATATATATATATATATGTGTGTGTGTGTGTGTGTGTGTGTGTGTGTGTCCATACTTAAAAAAGGAGGGAGCAGCTGATGATAAGAGAACGGGTAACGGTGCGAGGTAATAAGAAAGATTCAGAAGGAAAACACAAGCTACTGTAGATATTCCAGCCACAGGAGATATATTTCTCCATTGAGAGCAGAACAACCATTAATTGTCATGAGAATCATTCTCTTGCAGTTTAAGCGGGAAAGTAATCTATCGAAAGTTGTAAATGCATGAAATTTTGATCCATTTAACTCATGTGCTTTATATGCAATGAAAGAGAGAGTGAGTGAGAGAGAGAGAGAGAGAGAGAGAGAGAGAGGGGTGATGGGAGTGGCTGTTGAAGTATTTACATTGATACATTGACGGATGAATGAATTTATTGATATAACAAATTAGACATGTGCATATAATTACACGTACGCATATATGCATACCTATGCGTAGGTATAAGTACACATTAAACACATATGATTGACACACATAGACTCACAGACACACGCACTCGCACATATATATTTGTATATGAAAGAAAAAAAATCTCTCTCTCTCTTTCTCTCTATTTTATGTTTTCATGTTGTCTCTGTTTTTTTTTTCCTGACACGGTGTGCTACCAGTTGGCTATCAATCAAGCAACCTTTTAATCTATCTTTTTTTTTCTTCTTGCTATGTTTTCACATCCATCTTTGTCTTCAGCCCATTTCTATGATATTCTTTCTCTTGGACTGTCCTCTCAGCTATTTTGACCTTTTTCTGTCTCTTAGAAGTTATTAGAGTTGAATTCTTTCCATTGACCTTTGTACCATTTCGAGTTTTTGTTTTCAAGTGATTTCGTTAATTTCCATGATTCACACCCGTATATACTATTTAACATTATTAATTAATTTATACATTGTAGGTTTTAACCATTTTGGCAAAATTATTTTCATTATAAATCTATTATTGTTAAATGTTTAAGGTAGACCCTATTGTTATCCCTAATTTTATTTCAATTCTTTGTTTTCCTTTAGCAATGCATTTGTGAATATATTATTCAGACAACAAAACTAACAATAACAACTGCATTAATTTCTGACCACTGAAATTCTTTTCTCTATCGATCTCCAAAGCATAAAATGCGGATTGAATATTGAATATTGCCCAAAAAACTTTGATCAAAAATTGCAACGTCCAATTCTTAATCATAAATAATTTACTTTGATTAAAGGAAAGGGAAAATAAATAAAGGGAAAATAAAGACATCACGTCAAGTGACTTAAACATTCTAATCTTGCTGATAGCGATATTATTCACACTTTCAATTTTTCGTTGCTCAGTCGCTCTGTCAAATAGTGGCTTTCTTCACTTGTTTCCCTGATGCGACAATATGAATTAAATTTAAGACAACTCGATACGGAACGTTTACTTTCGTCCAACGGCTATCAGTAATTGGAGTCGACTTCAAAGTACAATAAGCGCAGACTAAGAGGAATTGACAGAAGTAAAATTAATTTGGTGGAGGGAAGATAACAGGACAAAGAGCCTGTTGTCTATAAAACTCACCACACCGCGTAGGGGCAGAACAGAAGGACTAACGTGGACCTCGCAGAAACATGGACAATCGCTGACTGCGTACCTCCCGACTTACTTACGCTTTAACTCACCTTCATTCGCTTCTAGTAGTAAAGTCTAAGAATAAAATCTGGTTGAATGCGACACAATTGTTGTATTCGTCACTCGTGGCCGAAGGATTAATTTTCAAGTTACAAGCGTTTGATTGAAAGAAACTGCACCTTGTCAACGAATTTGGTGTCTGGTTTGAGCTGAAATGCAACATTAATAAATCTGATCAACATTCTTCATTACTTGATTTCTTCATTACCGCCTCTCATAGATTTTTGTAGAGCATCACTTCTGTCCACTTGGAAAATCGGATCACGCTATAGTATCCGCTGGTATTTCTTTTCAGCCATTAAAGTTGATCGAGGAGCATGACACATTAAGCCTTCTCGGACTAACGTTTTCCGTTGACCTGAAGTGGAAAGATTATATTGAATCAATTGCTAGCTCTCATACTAGCAAAGTTGGTTCACTGTACGTGTTCTACAATTTTTTTTTCGCCAGAATCTATCTTACATATATGTAAATCTATTATTTGACCTGGCTTTGAATATTGCTGCCACATCTGCGCTGGACTCTTGCTGTATATTTAGGGATTCTTGATGAAATCCAAAGAAGAATCAGCAGAGTTATCATTCCTGACCTGGCATATCGGTTTCACACTCTTCTCTAATGTAGTTTCCCTGTATCTTTTCTATAAATAATTTCATGATAATTGTTCTGATGAACTTTCCTGTATGATATCTTGGCTTTATGAATTTAAGTGCAGTACTAGATTGGTGGCAAGATGTCATCATTTTACAGTTGAAATGGCTGCTAGATGTAACCGTAAGAGCAATGATAACAGTTTCTTCTATCGCACTTCTCGCTTGTGGGACTATCTTCCAGTTTTA